TTTTCTTCCTAAATCTTTCCCTCAACACCGCTAAATGTCTTGTTTGCGTCGCCTTGTTACTTACTTTACCATTAATTGTTCTCTCTTGTAATGTCGACAAACCTAATGCAAGGACTACGTTGTCTTCATAGGTTGTTCTATTTCCTTCAGGTGCCATTTGCTAATCATTACCAAATAGCCATTATGGCATACGCAAAATCAATGCTCCATATTTCTTACACGGGTTTTCAAATTTATTTTGATTATCGTTTACTGTGAGGACGTTGATTGCTACAATCCCCTCCCACTCTCAAACATCACATATTTACCATTTTGTCCTTCATAAGTTGCGAAACGTCCAATATCGTGACAACGCCACTGCGCCACTGTTTTCCATGCCTTAGAATTATTGTGAATGTGGAGAAACGTGCGGTTAGAAAACGAGCAAATCTATCATACATTCAGCGTTGTGCGTGCGAAAGTGCACACGCAGTTCCTTGGATCCAGTGCATAGCTGGATTTTTGCTTCGTACCCTTTAAATTTCCATGTTGTTGCCATTAGAATTGTGTGCGCCATGAGAGTGCCCACATCACTACTAAGAACAGCCCCCCATAGTTCTGTAAATGTTCTCAACTTACCACATAGCTTAGCTCTTTTTGGCTCATACTATCTGACACATAAGAGGCGTTTTGGTGCTTCGTGCCACCCAACGCAAGCAGCAAAATATCTTCCTACCGAACCTTCTCTGTGAGCTGGGAGCACACAATAGACACCAAAACACCGCAGCTGGGGTGTGCCAGGTTGGCTTCCTTCGTTCCATGTCCGGAGTCGGACAGCTACACCGCCAACCTGCTGCGGCTGCTGGCCCAGAGGCGGGAGCTCCAGGCGGCCGTGATGCGCTCCGCGGCGGACGGGGCCCTGCCAGACATCCCGCCGCATCTGCTGGAGACGCCCACGGTAGCATCCATCGACAGGTGACACGAACAGAGAGCACGCGCGCCCTGTTCACTTCTTTCTCTCTCTATCAAGACCGGTGCGCCATTCTTGCGATGCCAGCTGTGATGCTCTTTGACAACAACTGAGTCCACCGCGTTGAATCGAGGCATAAACGTAGCTAGCGCGTTAGCGATTAGCGTCGACCGGCATCGCAGTTGGCATCGCACAAATGAAAGTTCCGCTTGTAGGTTCTTGTTGAATTAATGTTTCATTTCACACCACACGGCACGGCATGCAAATGTTTCAAAAATTTGGCAAAACACTAGTACTTTATAGTGTTGTGTTGTACTGTTATCCTTGAGAAGGGGGATAATTGTGCTCCACTACGTTGTGTCTGTCCAGCACCCAACGGAACGGGTAGACGCTCAAAAGAAACGAAGTGATAGTTTTCTGAAAGTCTTCATCTACATTCTGAGCCTCCAATCTGTATTGATTTCAAATCATCCTGGAGCAGTGCGTTTGATTTGTCATTATTGAAGTTTGCCATCTTTTGTGTATGCGACTTGACCAGCGCATTTTGCCGCCGCAAATGTTGCTGTGTATTTGACCGTTACCGTGATTTTCTGAAACGGTTGGAAAGGAAGCAGGCTACACTAAAGCACAACAGCAATGAAGAAAATTTGGAAATTTGAAAAACAATTAGTCGCAGCCACTTTCGATGCCTCCCAAATCCCGCGTCGCATAATGTCTGCGGCGTCGCAGACCCGAGGCCCGTAGCGTCGGTTGGGAGACTAGGAGCCTTGCTGACGACGCCGACGGCCCCGGCGACCCCCTACACTGCCTTACGACAAAACTCGCAGGCGCAGCTTGCGCACCCCCATCTCCCCAACCCCTCCCTGCGATTGGCAATATGGTTTCTTCTCTAGGGAAAACCCAGAATTTTGTTACAAATAATATACCTGTATTAGCAATTATGGCAACTGCAGTGACAGGATATTATGCAAGCAAGAGCGCCACCACATAAATGACAATATTGCGATAATAAGCAAAGTCAACCAAATGAATTTGCATCATAATATGATGTGAGTGGCAGATGGAAAGAAGGTGCTTCAGGTACTGAAATTTGTACTCCGATAATACCGAACAATATAACAATAAAATAGCAACAAAGAAGATGAATTTCCCCTGATAAACTGGTCATACTGAGATGGCGGTTGATAGTGGAGGAAGAATGAACATATCCTGAATTTTAAATATGAATGGTGGCGGAATTGCAATACCCATGCTAACTTAAAAAAAGTGATGAGAGATGTGTGATATATTGGCAGAGAAAGACGTGAGGCGCAACGAGAACTGTGCTGGTTGCCGGAGGCCCCTACCTTGGAAGATCCGGTCGAGGCCTTGGTGGCGTCTGTGGAATCAGCGGGTTGCCTTCTCGAAGGTGGAAATTGTGTCTCTGTATCGGCGCCGATTCAAGCAGGAAAAGATTCCATGTTGCTCTAGACCACCGGAAAGGTAGCACTTAGTCTTGTTATTTACGTTTACGTTCTTACGTTTACGTTCAAACGTAAATGGAAAGAAATTTCTTTCTATAAAAACACGAATTTGCGAAAAATAAAACCAAAATCAAGAAATGATAAAAGTTGCTATTTTACGGGTGTTGTTACGTTTTTACGGCTGGTTGTGACACCCAGGTTACACGATGAAAATTGCGTACAGTTTTCAGTATTCCGACCCCTTGAGCGGCCGCAACACAGCATCCGCTTCCCATTCGGTAAGGGCCACTATGGAGTGGAACAAAATTTGTTTTGTGCCCATTACAGTGCGTCTGGATGCCATTTATCGGAGGCTCAAAAGCTGTATGTACCATCTTATGCACGCGGGGCCATTAATACATTTTATTTACGCATTTTTACGCAGTTCTGCGCGTAATAACGTAAAAACTATTTTTGCACGTAAGAATATATACACGATCTGTGTTTACAGCGTAAATAAGGAGCCTGGTAACAGTCGATCGGCTGAGTGGGTGGCGGTGTCGGCTTTGGTACTCTGGTGCACAGCGCGCTACCCACATTTGTCAACGTATTCAACATACACGAATGCAACAGTGTACTTTTTGACGTGTGTTGCGGGACACCTATTTGCGCCAACTGTGGTACTGACGCGGACAGTGTCCCCATGAGTGTTTTAGTATGCTCAACGTCAACCTGATTCTCCGTAAGGCGTTCAAGCACCGCGCTGATTATATAATCATCATCGATCACATCGCTGCTTGATTGATTTGCATGGCCTTGCTGGTGGCTTTTGTTGCAAGTTGTACGCAACTTGCAATGCTTTCAAGTCGCCTCAATGCGCATATAAATGTGACAATGGCGATTGCAGCTACCGCCCAACTTGTTCTAAAGGCGTCGGTCTTCGAAGAAATGGTGGTGCGCCCACCGCCACATCGCAAAGGCACAACATACGCATATTCTGATCCAAATATAGCGGCATGTAAAATGCAGCTGCTCCTATGTTCCTTTTATCCGCACATTCTGATTTTCGGTGCTACTATCTTTTTTTGTTGCTACTTTGGAATTGAATTTGAGTGACGGGTGTGGAAACGGCACAGATTTGGACGAGCTGGAAGCGCTGAAGCGGCACTTCTTTTTCCGAGTGTGCTCCCTGGGATGTGAACGGCGAAGGCTCCTCCGATTCACGGCGGCGGCCTCCCATCGCCACATCTGCGACATCATAGCAGCCGCGCAGAAAGAAAGAGGCTCGGAGCGATCAGCCAACGACGGAGGCGAACAAAACTCGTCGCGGCGTTTTCGGAGGGAACGAGAATTGGGCGACAAGTGCTTGGAGGTGAAAAATCATGTATTGATGTCGAAATAATAATGAATTATTTGAAGTATGTTGATTCATTTAGCAGATGCATTTTCAGAGGTCGGAAAGAATGCGCTGGCCGGCGGCGAGAGGCTTATTTGGCACGCGTGGGTGCGTGGGCCGATATTGGTACACCTCCCTTTCCTTTGCGCCTCCAGCGCTCAATGAAATGTGTACCACTTGATGGCAAGGTCGCTCTAGGCAATCAAAAGATATCCAATTCCGGAAATTAAGCTGCATCGAGAGGATGTCGCAATCACGTTGACACTGAATGTCAAATAGAAGCGAAAGATTGTAATCCCTCAACTATTGCCGCAGGCACTTAACGCAGAGGGATACTTCCTTAAATATGGATCCTTTTGATGAAAATAGTCAACTTAGAAGTCCATGCCCCTACCGTGGCATTACTTTAGGGGCTTGGGAAGGCTGAGGCGGAAGCTGCAGCGCGCCTTTCGAGGCTGCGGGACACCGGCATCGTGGACCCGTCGGACTGGTGGAGCGTCCTCAACCAATCCCTGTTTCGGGGGCCACCCGCACGTATCGCGAAGAGGTTTTTCGATCGCCTCAAATGGCTACCCTACAGTCACCATCACAGATTCCCCGTCTACGAAAAGGTGCGGTTTCCAATGGCGAGCTTCTTTTAATCGGGATCAAGCGCAAGCCGTCAACATTGCAACTGCGACAGTTTAAACGTCAATATTCAGAGGATTGATTATTTTTGGATGATGATAATTGGAGATCAGGTGAAATTTCTACTAATACCCCTGCGACCTCGGCGACGTCAACGCCGCCAAACACGCACCGCCCAAAATGCCTCGTCACACAAATTGGCCGGCCCATATACAAAAGTTTTTACAATTTAATGCTGGTCGTGAAATTCATTTTGAGGTGTATTCTTACTATAACTAAATAGATGTATTGGCGCTGCTGTGCAGGCTCCTCTTTGGCCTTTTCTACAATTTTCTTGCCCTTGAAAACAATGCTCCTTCCTATCGATTCCGGTATCCACGGTGCGATTTTGCGAAAAATAATAATGGAATACGTTGTATGTTATTCAAAGTCTAATTTCGAATACTGCAGTAATTTGCATGCATTTAAATTGCTTTTTGTTTTCAATTCCGTCTTTTCTCCTAAGCGCAAGTACTGCGAGAGCTGCAAACTCAGCCTGAGGTCGTTTTCCTCTTTTGTGTTTTTTTTGAAAGGCCGTGACATCAAGAAAAGCCAGAAAATGCGCCATGGCGGAGTTGGGACTCGATTCCCCTCCCACCGTGATCACCACCAGTCAGCAATGCGAGCAGCTTCTGAGGGAGCTGCTCTCGGAATTCGGCATCTTAGAAATGTGCGAAGGCGGCGAAGAGATGGCGTTGGAGAATCGGCAGCATCGGGACATGTACCTCGTGAAGAAAATTGCACCGAAGGTGGTCTGATAACCACTAAGGGTCGGCTGCGACATGTTTTGCACTTTGGGGAACAAAATGCTATCAGCGTCAGTACTCCCTAGTATGTGCTTGTATCGCTTTTCTTGACAAACTCCGAGACAATTTCCAGCATATTGCGCAGGGGACTGGATGGAATAAAGCACCGGGAAAATATTCTATGAATCAAATTGGTACAGTACCGCGACAGCTGCATGTTCAATTGTAACGGTATTGCTGCTGCACTTCGACCCAGAAATTATAATAATCCAGTTGTATATCTCCTGTTTTGGCATAAAATCTGTAAATTAGGCCACTCTATTACATTCCCCACATTGAAAGCCGTGGATTTGAACTTTCAAATTATGCATGTAGTTGATTGTGTAATTGGTTTTGTTGTCTTGCGCAACATGGGGGTTCGCGTGCGTCGACAAGAGCATCCGGTATTAGTTGTGCAGCATCATATATGCACACAATCAATGAGTGCATTAGCGTACAACTCATAAATCTACGCCTTGATGAATACTTCAGCCAGTCCTGGATGCAGATTGATACTGCATGTATTAATGTTGCTATGAAATTGGCACTGCTGAAAAACCTGGATTTACCATGTCTTGCCTATTATTTTTATAACTCGCTTTTCGATAACACACACCACTTTAAGCAGCAGTATCAAAAGATGGAGTGTAACATGGAAGTTATCGTCACTCTGGTATGATATTAAGTAGATTTCTTCAACAACATCGATTTCCGCACGCCGAACAACACGACGCCATTTCCAGTATTACTAAACGAAGACGCATTTCCATCCTGGATATGTAACGCTTCTGTGCATGTACATGGAAGCCGCGAAAGAATAATCAGAATGTGATCTTCAATCAATGCCTGCCAGATACAGAACTTATTTGACAACTTTTCAGCGTAGACTGCCACAAATATGTACTTTCAAGTACTAAGCCCTGTGTAACTTTTCCGCAAGAGGACAGATAAAAAAAGGGGGATATTCTATCGAAGCAGAAAGGGCATCTGTTTTCATGTCAGGCTCAGAAAGGGAGCAATTATCTGTGTGGCTGTCACAGATGATGGCAGAACAGAACGCCTTGAAGCCATCGGGATCCGTTGGTAGACTGGAGCGCCAGGCCATGTCCCACTTAGAGAAGTACGCAAGCTCGCTGGTGGGCATCGGGGAAGACCCGGAAGAGGCAGGCGCGCCGCCGGACGCAGAGGAAACCACGTCTTTGCAGCGCGACGCCTTCGACGGTCCCTTGCATTACGTCAACTGGCGGCGTCAGCAGCTGGAAGCCCTGGTGCCCAGCTGCGCTGGAGACGTGTCGGCAGGACACGTTGCCCTGGTCCGGGATGCAATGCCCCACGTGGACGAGGTCCTGAAAGCCGAGAACCAATACCTGGATTGCCAGGTGAGGCCAGCTGCTGTGCTGTGCGGCTCCAACGCACGCCGGTGAGTCTGGTGAATTTGGTTGCAAGGAAGCATCCTGCTGGAAAGACTTGCGTGGAGGCATTATATGCTGCATCGCTTTTGTACATACGCAGATAATGGAACCACCGCGTACGCTCTTTTTTTTGCGTTGGTTGCGACACAATTTTCGGCACGGTACGCGCGAGAGTGTGCATTTGCGTAACGCGACTCGTTGACTTGCATTGACTGTTAGTCAATGCTAATTGGTAAACGACACAGAATTGCGTAAGCCCCAAACTTCGAACAATAACATAGCTGTTTGTAATCAGGAATCAGGGGATGCGTTGGATAGGTTGGGGGCGCTTTCAACAGACCATGTGCGCCGGTGGTCGGCACACGACGACGCAGAGGAAGCAGAAGCGGCGCTGTCAGTCGCGGTGAGCGTGGCGCGTGAATCCAAAGCGCTGAACGACAAGAGGGTGGAATGTGTGTACGTGCTCCGGTACCTAAGGACAAGAAGGCACAGGCTGCAGGTGGGCGAATCTGTATTCGTCACCCTGGGTGGGCTCATTTGCGTGGGATTATGAGTGAAAATGAACATTTTGCAAAAGAGGACGTTTATCGGCGAGCCACTCTGTTCAAATGGAGTTGTTCCACTACCACCCCACCTCCCGCGACGTGGCCCAATTTTATGGCACTGCAGTAATGAAACACACACACATTGCAACGTCGGCCTGCAACGTTGCCTTCAGGTTCTCCATTATTTGAACGCCATGACGTCAGTTTTTTGCACACTCCTGGGCGACGAAGAGGACGAAGCACGGCATGTTGAATCCGTTCTCCCCAAATCGAATCGATTCACATCGATGAGGAAGAGCTTTGCGAAAGCTGAGACAACTCACAGCTTCGACGGCGGCGAATTTGTGGAGCAGGAGAACCCGGAGGGTTCGGACCGTTCGGTCAGGCAGAGGCCAGAGATATGCAGCCATCCGGAAGCTGGCGTCATCGTAAAAGATGACGTTGGCAGGTGCCTCTTGTCAACATTGTATGTGTCAACGTCTAACAACAGAAACAGAGCAGGAAATGGGTCGATGAAAAGGAGCTTCGCGTTCCCTTCGCGTTTTGAATGCACACGCCGTGTATCTCATTTTCTTCAAGCTGTAATAGTTTTTTTGGCTCGGCAGCTCTTGCAATGGAATATATGGGAAATTTGCAGTTTCGCAGAATGGACATATCAGAATCTCTGTGATTCCTCCGCGCACTACAGAAATCAATTCTGAATGAGAAGTTTGCCATTATTCTTGAGTCAATACCTAATGATTCAATACTCTCGACTGCTTGATTGAAGTCACTTGTGTGTTATTTCGTCCAATCGAAATTTCCTCGTGTGGTTCAGGTGGGTGTTCCATGACTATGCTCTTCAATTGTTCCGCGAGCTGGAGAATGAGGTACTGACAGTGGCCACTTTCTACTTGGAAAAGAAGTGCCATGAGCTGGAGGTGGAGGGAAGGGAATCTGAAATTGACGCCATTGACAGGCAAGTCAAGTTGATGCAGGTTGCCTAGATTACCCGTCGTGCGCCCATATTCCGCTGCGAACTATCCACGAATGCTTGCCAAACGGCAAGAAAACGAGATATGGATATCTGCGTTAATTCACAGTCTTAAGAACATTTTAAGATTCATCAGATATTTGAGGAATGTGCGAAACTTTGTTTCCTGCTGTGGCCTTCAGGCGTGCACTGAAGTTGGAGAGATTCGCTGTCATTATCGAGAATAAATATAAATGAATATATATATATATACAGGTTACTAAATATAAAGGTTATAAATGTATAGGTTTTCGTCGTTGGTGCCCTCCCAGGTTGGCCATTATATCCGATACTTGGGAGATGGAAGCGAACTTCTTGCGCGAGAGGCACCAGACTTTGATGTCGTACTGCTCTGCCTATGAGCACGCGACGGACTTTGGAGTCGAAGATCAGCTTCGTCACAAAGATCGGCCCAAGGGATCACCTCGGCAGGCTTTGTCGGCGAGGCGTGTTTTGAGAAGAGAAATGGTCGACCTTTGTTTCAGGTGTGACAATTCCGGCGGCGACACCCTGCGCGTTCAGAATTTTCTTGCGCTCCCGCAGCGCCAACAAGAATTCGTTCATCAATGCGTCATTACGAACTTTAATCATTAATCACAATTATGCGTTCACCAATGCTGAACTGTGGGTGGTGTGTCCCACTGCTTGCTTTGACTTTGTACATGCGCTCGCAACAGCTTTTTACCTTTTCATGCACGCGGCTGCTCCATGGACTCTTGCGCCACGCAAATGCATAAAAAATCATTTATTTGAACTTTCAAACTCTGAAAAAAATTATTTATTTGAAATTTCAAACTCTGAATTGCTACTTGAATTCCATTGTGCGGACGCAAGCCACTGAGTATGTATCAATCGATTTCCATTCTTTGCTTTCAATGCACCAGTAAAACGAAAATGCTGCACGCCGGGTTGCAATGCATGCAAGCGAGGAACCTGATAGATCTTTTCAGTTGCCGTCAGGCGTTTCGGATTCGACCCCGAGGACGGCTACTTCGCGGGGCGTTATATCAACGAGACCACCAGCCTGGAACTGGAGTGGCGACTGGTATCAGATCTGGCAAGAATCACAGCGGATCAGGAGAGGAAACTGCTGCAAATCTGCCACGATACCGATTCGGCGTCTCCGGATGTCGGGGAACCCTCCGGCGGGCCGGGAGAGTGCGTGGAAGATGCTGGCGTGCCCGCGTCGCTGACTTTTGCGCCTTTGTTTTTGGAGGAGCGCCGGGGCGTTGAGGAAGAGATAGCGCTGCTGCCGGGTGTGGGGGCGGCTGCGGCGGAATTTCCCGGAGTCTTGAGAGCAGTGAATTGGGAGTTTTTGGACCACCACCAGGTTGAGTGCCGTGGGAGATCAAAGTAAACTCGAGTGGCGCAGACTGCTTACGTAATGTGCATGCCATTGTATTCAAGTCCATTCACTTCATTAAGAGTTTCGGTGGCGTGCTTATTTAATCATCGAAAATTTGATTATCCTGTTTTGTGTGTGAATTAAATGCTTCGCATACGTGCTGAACTACGTAGTTCAGTACCTCTGTGCGACAAGGAAACAGTTTTTAGGATATTTCGACACCAACACCTATGGCATTTACGGCACAGTGTCATTAAATCAAAGCGTATCAACTTACAAGCTGAAGGCTTGTAGATCTTCCGCACTGTGGTGGTGCCATAGCTCGCTTGACGCAGTATATATGTGGCCCAACACACTTCGTTCCTACAATTAGTTATGTCAAATTCACACAAATACTCGCCTTCTTGTTCTAGCCTCAATCAAAAGCGTTGAATTGAGCGACAGGGTGCGGATGCACATGCAGATACAGAATTTCTCTGATAAACAAGAATGCCGAAGAGTGATTCTCCAGTGCGCTACAGCCGAGATGGAAATACTCAAGAAGGAAGAAAATTTTAGGCCTCATGCTCCAATACCTCCTCTTCCCAAGGATTCCAAGAAGGCGAAGGCAAGACTCCGGAAAGGGGACGCCCATGGTAAGATGCAAAGTCACATGCAAAATTATGGATACATGAATTTCATAGAATGCTGATTTGTTTAATGCCTCTGCAGGATTTATCCGCCGCCATACAAAAATCAATGCTTTATATCTCAAATGTAGTTTTATTGAGATTTTGATTTTCCTATTGAAATTTTAGGTGAAATCACATCTGTTGTTCTCAAGTGAGAGTACACACATTCTCTGCATATAATTGAATTTCCACCCGTTATCCACCATTTCTTTTTCTTGGTCCTTTTACAAAATATATTCCAATTAGTACATATTTCGTTATTGCGATTGTAGGGGAAGATAGCCGTGGAAATATTTTATCAATATCCCATATTTTCGACAACCAAAGGGCCATGAAGAAAATCACTTCTGCCTCAGGAGTGTCCCTGAAAGGAGCAATCAAGGTGGGGAATGACTCAAAAATTGCTGGCGCCTGGAAGCTGAATTATCGGATGTTAGCAAGGACCCCTCCTTACATTTCACAGCTGCTTTTGATCTCACGCCCACTTTCTCCCCCAGGCGCACGCTGCAGCAAATCGTACTAGCAACATCAGACGAGCTAGAATGGAAACAGTTTTCGCCAAATTGCGCCGTGCCTTGCTCAAACGGGGCCAATGCCATGACCCGCTCACATTCACAGCAATCGCTGAGGAACGGAGACCATCATCGGCCACGTTCACTACACGACTCATTCTCACCACTGGAAGCCTCCAGTTCTTCGCATTTTAACAGCTTTGAGTGCGCCAATTTCAATCTCGTGTCCGCAGGCCCACATCGCCAAAGAGGCCCTCATTGCAAAGGTCTACGAGTCGGAGATCGCCTGGCTGGTGTTCTACGTCCAGGGCAGGGCCTTGGGGCGCCGCGCCACTTCCCAGGAGGTCCGAGGCATCGACTGGGGCGCCATCGACGGCGAGGGCCAGCCCCTGCGCCCCGACAGCATCCGCGCCTTCGTGGAAGAAGCTCACCCGTCGGACGTCGCCCCGCCGGGCGCGGCCGGACCGCCCGCCACGGGCAATCAGGAATCCGGGGCCGGGGAGGGGAAGCTGGAGAGGGGGTGGCGCCCTGGTGAGGGAGACGGCGCTTGGATGGGGAAAGAGGAATGGTAGTTGGGGTGAAGGGATATTACTTGCATTCCACGTGCAGATGCATAATGGTGGGTCGCCATGCGTTTGCTTGGCTGGCGATGAGGAATTCCACGTGCTGTATAGAAACCTTGCAATTGTGGTTGCATTGCGCTACCACAGGCTTCTATCCTTGACACTGGGTTGTACAACAAGCAGGCCCTTCGGTTCCGTTAATCCTTGTCCAAACGCAATGCTGTGTGGGTGTCTGGGATTGTGTAAAGTTTCCGCGACTTAAAAAGGCGCCAGCGTTAAACAACCCGTTGAAACAATACAGTGAAGCGTGCTCGAAACTATTCACTTGGCTCAAGTTCCATAATGCGATGTAGTGGAGCACAAACTCCCATCAAATCTTAGAACGATATAAGCATTCATGGCGTATAGCGGACCATTTATTAATCAATTCTGTCGTCGCATTGTGGATTACTGTGCAGACACGGAAGTGAATCTAGTCGATCCAAACAATAAATACCAGATCGAGGCCCGTCCTGGATGAATGCCTCAGGTTTAATGGTCGGCGTTGGGGACGCGGGAGTTCTGGGAGGCGTCTGGAGGTCCCCGCCGATCGCCCTCCTTGAATTTACAACCTCCCCCACGGAGTTCCTGGATTTCTTCTCCATAGAAGGGGCGCTTTACGTCATGGATTCACATGGCCGCAGAGCACTGCAAAAGGCGGCGAAAGCGCAGGCTCTGAAAGTGGCCAGCCTGGAGATGTCCATAAAATACAATCAGGTCGACCGCGAACAGAAAAACGCCGCACCGGGCAAAGAAAATTGCAGGGAAGTTAGCTTTTCCTGCTCAAAAAACTCTACAAACAGACTTACAGAGTAGATTTTGAAATTTAATATGATTTGGAAATGTCTGGTTTACCAAGGAAAACAGGGGCGCTGCATCGGAGCACTTACTTCAAATTTTGAGCATATGAGTTGAAAGAAGTTTTGCATTTAGCGGGAAGTGCATGCCGAGTGTGACTGTAAGCTGACATTTCCACTTTGGAGCTCGCCTCGCACCGTGACCGCAGTGCCAGCGCATATGGAAACCATGCGCAGCACGACACTGCGAAGCGCTGAGAAATTGTGCTGCTAAATTCGCAAGTTCATATTTGGTGTACCTCGGCAGATATCTGGCTAATTACTATGTCGCCAGCACAACTGATTCACTTGCACTTTCCTGAGAGTGCGCTCGCAAGACTTAAGCCGAAGCCCTTGCATATGCCATCAAGTTTATATGGTGAGTTTTTATTTGTCCTATTTTATGC